TTCTCTAGGATCTTTGACCTCTTAAGCCATGTATATTTGGCTATATTTGCAGTGCCACCCATGAGTTCCCTCCCATTGAAAGGGCGTTAAGTCCGATTAGACAGCTGTTGATTACCCCTAAGATGAAAGTGCACTACCACAAATAGAGGTAGTTTGCTGTGCCAGTCGTTGTGATTATTAGGCTTTACAGCTGGGCTGGACCGTTGATTTATTTTTTCCTTTAGGAGCTTTCATAGCATCCTCCAGAACTACAAGGAACTATTGGCAACTGATTACTGTGGGGTGAGGGAGAGTAGATATTTAAGGGAGTGGCTCTAGATAGGCCGGCTAGACTTCAGTGGATGAGCCTGCACCAAGGGACATCTGGGTACAAATGCTTGACTGGATAGGACTTAACACACATGACAGAATACCTGAAATCCCATGGGTAGGGATGGCTACAGGGGACAGGGAGGGAGTCTATATTTGATTAAGATCTATTATATGAAATGCACAAAAGCTCAATAAAAATTGAAAAAGTCCAATTTGTGTGTCCAAATGTCCTTCAGTGTGGATCCATCTACTGGAGGTTGGTTAACCTACCAAGAGTCACACTCTTGAAAGAGACACTCTCCCCGCTCCCAGGAGCCATTGGTTGCCAACAGCTCCCCAGGTAAGGTTGGGGTTTCTTACCCACTTCCCCTCATCTGTGTCCGGATTTTTTCTGGTTTGAGCTTGCATGGGATTTGTGTATACCGTCACCATTGCTGTGAGTTCATATGAGTAACTGACAAGCTGTCTGGAAACCTTTATTTCCTTGTGGTCACCCACCATGTGCTCTTATAATCTTTCCACCCCTTCTTCCACAATGATCCTTGAGTACCTTTAATTCCATCACTCGGGAGGCAGAGGCATGTGAATTTCTGTGAGATCGAGGCCAGCCTGGTCTACATAGTGTTTCAGGCCAGTTGGGGCTACAGGGAGACCCTGTCTCAACAAAAAAGTGGTGTAATATTTTTAAAAGCTATATTAATTCTGGAGACACTATTTTCTTTTCCATGGTAGAAATGAACTTGAATGTGCCCATAAATCATAGTTTACCCTTCGTACCTTTGTACCTGCCTTTTGGGCATTGCATGAGTGCTCGCTCTCAGAATCCCAGGCCTTCCCTTGAGATACCTGTCTTTTATCTCTGCACACAGTGTTCCCTGCCTGAGGGCTTGATCTCTGGATGACATAGACTCCAGACTCCCCTCTGTACAGTCCTCAGGGGCCCCGTCTTCTGTGCTGTTTCTGTTTCCCTCGTCATTTTGTAGCACATGCTCAGGCAATATCAGTTGAATATGGTGCTTTCTGGGAAGAAAGTCAAGGTGGGCAACTTGGAGGTTCTAGATCCAGGATCTGATAAGTGTCAAAAGGAGCTCTCTGTGGAGTTGGTACAGAGTGTGAATTTGGGTTCATTTTACCAGTCTAGCCTCCCTTCCAAAAGCCAAGTAGCATCCTGTGTCTGGGAGATGCTGAGTAGAATCCTGGGAGGCAGCCCATCACCAGCGCTGCAGGTGGGAGACAGTGGGTCTGACTGGATAAGAGTGATCAAGTGTGGAATGAAGGTGGGAGACTGTCTTAAAGCGGAACACGGTGGGTGTGCAGAACGCTTCAAATTAAGTATCATTCTTATAGAAAGAGGTTGAGAAGTGGTGCTGTAGGATGACTGTAGCACTCGACCAATACTGAGCCTCACTGACTCCTCTGTGAGACTCTGGACTCTATGAATGGTCTGGGACCACACCCCTATCAAGAGCCAGGAGCCCACACAGCCTGTGTGGGGCCTCCCAACATTAGTGCTCAAGTTGAGAACCTCTGTGTTCTGCACTACACCATTGCTAAAAGATCATTGCTAAGTGATCTAGATATGAGTAGCATATCTCGCAGGGGTCAAGCTCCAGTGTCATTGGCTGACATTATTTGCAGTTAGAGTGTGTAGATGCCTTTAAAAAACACTTAAAAATTTTAATATTTTTATTTATTCTTTGAGGATTTCCTACTTGTTTAAAATATATTTTGCTCATATCCACCCCACAACCCCCCCAGCATTCCCCACATTCTCTCCCAGCTTTATGTACTTTCTTTTTTTTTTTGGCACCCACGTCTAAATACTACCCACATGCACATGGGTGTCCCGTGGGGCCATCTACTAGAGCATGGTAGCCAGCCAGTCATCACATCCCTGAGGAAAACTGCTTTTCCCTCCCTGTGAAGTCTTTGACTGTCAGCGTCTCTCAAGCAGGGTTTAGGGCTGATGTGTCCCTCCTCCACCTCTGCTGCTGTGTGGACTGACTCGCTCTTGGGCAGGTTTTCTCAAGAGGCACAGCTGCTGACAAAGGGGATTGTTTTTCTTAATAAATGACTCAGTGGCTAAATTGCATGTACATTTTCGTGGCTTCTCCTCAGCCTTCATATAAGGAATTATCAGTAGGACCAGCATTTCAGATAACTTGAATCTTAGGTTTAGTCCCCTTACTATGCCTCATTCAGCAAATCAAATGCAAACTTGACCACTGGGCTTAGGACAGATGAAATGGACTGTTTCCCCAGCTGCTCCCTCCTGTGCTTCCCACCTCTGCAACTGGGACGAAATGTGTCTGACTGGCTGATTACCACATCTGGAAGCCTTCAACTCACTATGAGCCAGGGATCCCTTGTGGTGAATTCCCTTTGTACACCCTGTCCATCTCCGATTTATGCTCTGATAAAGTGACTAGAGTACAATAAGTTCAAAATTCAATACGATTTAAGTCCAAAGACCTTCAATGCGTATTCCTACATGCAAGATGCAAAAAGTCAGAAAAAGTCCTGGCCTGAAGACGACAGGTTATTATATTAGTCCACACCCGGTGGTCTGGTGGTAATCAGATGCCCAGTGTGAAATAAAGCCTATGCTTCCCTGGTCTGCTTCCTGCTATTGTGAAACAGTTTTCTGAATTTGGCTTAAAGGGAAGGCAGTATCTTCTAAAACAACAATCATGGTTGAGACACCATTGAAAGAAACGCACAAAATACATAAACAATTACAAATGTACACAGACTACATAGCGCAGAACCAACGGGACCAAGAAGCAGCAATAGCTTCCAACGGGATTAACTCACAAGGAAAAGTGACTTTTCCCCCCAAGCCTCTTGTAAAACAACGATGGTGCCTAGAAATGCCTCTGTGCCTGTGAAGGCACGTGTCCAAGCCAAAGGGTCACCTGTGGAGTCTGTTCTCCACACAGAACGTGAATCATTCCTGATGGTGGGGTGGCCAGTGACTCTGGTCCTGCACACTGGGCTGGGATCTGGTCATAATCCTCTGACATACAACCCAGTCCTTGTCTTTTGTACTATATAAGATACAGTAACACTAAAAAGCCAACACCCAGCCCCATACTCATCTACTTCCTCCATTTCAGGATATCACTCACTGTTTCCAATCCTGAACATCAGAAGTAAACTAGATTTTATAAAAACACAGTATGGACAGCTCCAAAATCTTTGTAAATCTGCAGATATAAACACACTTCAGCAGACGCCACGGTTTTCTACATTTCAACAGCCCTGTGCTTGGACATATTCCACCCCACGTGTCAGCATCCATCCAAATTTGAATGTCTGCCCACAGACCCAAACCTATTTGGAGCTCCTTGATAGAAGGAATCCAACTTTACCCTTCTTCCTGTCCTGCTGCCCCCCATTCCCCCACTGGAGCACATGTATTTTCCTGAACCTATAGATTTCAGAGTTTGTTTACTAAATCTACTGGATACACTCCCTCCCCCAATGAACACTCTCAGAACCTTGGCTCTATTATAATTGCATCGATATAATGCAACAGCTCAGAAACATATGGTGACTTCAGCTCCTGTCTGAACAATCTATCAACAAATATAGCCCAGTAATTGGATTCTTCAGCATTTAGGTCTAATAAACAAGAAGCAGAAATCAATTGATGCTTTAGATACTAAAATTTATACTCCGTTGAAATTAATGAAAACTCCGTTTTTTTAAAAAAGCATGTGAGCCACGAATAACTTGAAGTCATTAGCATTAAGCCTCCATCGTGGAGGGAGAAGATGCCAGGCCATCAAATATATCAGCACAGTAGCCTCTTTTCCTGATTAAATAAAACACCTTCACTTATGAATCTGGATAGTTTTCAGATGCGGATGAAATATAAACATGTTTCATTCACACTCCACCTCAGGCCAGAGGCTTTGGGCAAAGGCTTCTCAATAGGGTCCATGGTGGGGCTGGAGAGATGGTTCAGCGATTACTAATGCTGGCTGCTTTTGCAGAGGACCCGGGTTCAGTTCCGGGCATTCACATGGCAGCTAACAACCATCTATAACTCCAGTTCTGGGGAATCTGATGCGCTTTTCTACTCTCCACAGGCATTGCAGGACTTGGGTACACATACATACATGCAGGCAAAATATCCATACACGTAAAATACAAATAAATAAAAAATTAAAGAATATATATCTCAGTTTCCTTTTGTGTTCACTGCCTAAGCTCTAGTCTGTCTCTCAGTTCTGGATATGTCCAAAGATGAGCTGATTTGGTTCCCAAGAGACTCTTGGTGTCCTTCAGGTTTTTAGTTCAATGCAGAATGCTTAAGAATGCATGTGAAGGCAATTCAGTCCCAAACTACATGCCCTTGGGCCACCCCTAACAAAAAGACAAATCTTGTCCATGCAAGTCCCATCTGTACCCACAGCAGATATGAGCTGGGAAAGTGTCTTTCACCGGAGGGACCTCAAGAGAGTCCTGTGCACACATGAGGCTCGACTGTAACCATCAGGTTTGTAAGCTCCAGGTTGAGTGGGTGTGTTCTTCGTGGTGAGACACTGGAAAGACACATCAGGAAGTATTGCATGCTGTCACCGCTGTGACATTACGAGAATTACAACCATGGCTCACCTTGTTATAAAGGTGAACATGCACACTCTTTGGCTCAGTCTCAGCTTGTTGGGAAGCAGTCAGCTATGAGGCTCCACTACTTCTTATTGGCATTCTTCCTCTTGTTCTTGGTGCCTGCTCCAGGTAAGATGGATTGGGAAATAAGAGGTGGAAAGGGCTGAGAATTCACCATGTGCTTTTCTCTGTTCTTCTCCATAAGCTTTAGACCAAGTGGATTTGTAGAATCTAAACATCACCAATGTTTCCTGCTCACAATAACCACTAAGAACTTTAAAGCAGGCTTTCAAGTCGCTCCTCTTGGCAGACTAAACAGTGCCACCGGATCTAACTCTCCACCCACCTCTCCACTGGAGCACTATTCATGAGCTTGAAGTAGTGATAGGAAGTTTGAATATAAAAGAAAGATTGATTTGGTCTCAGAACAAAAAAGCACAAACTTTTCATTTTCCTGAGTTTAGTGGTTGGAGTTAGAAACTCTGGGCTGTTTGAAAGGCAAAGGGGACAGTACTGGCCCCCAACTCCCCAGTTCCTGTGGTAGGGCCTAGAGGTCAGGCAAAGTGGAGATGTAGCCCACAGAGACCTGCCTACTTGTTGATTTGACCTCCCTTAATTTTACACTTGATTTTATAGAAAAAGAGAAAAACAAACAAACAAATATAAGAAATTCAACTGCTAGGTTATTTGGAGGATTCCAAATCTTTCTAAGGTACGCTTTCTAAAATACTCTGTTTTCCTCGCAGGTGATGGATTCTTTATGAACAGCATCCGTAAAGCCTTCTGCAAAGTCAGGGGTGGCCGGTGTGCTGTGCTCAAGTGCCTTAAAAAGGAGGATCACATAGGATTTTGTGCTCACAAAGGCCGGAAATGCTGTAGGAGAAAGTAGAAGACCCAGAATCACGACAAGGAAGTTGGGGGGCGGGCATTCCTCCGGCTGTGTGTGAAGTAAAATCAAAGTAGTGTTTTTTCCAAAAAACTAGAAGCTTGATCTTTTTTTGAACATTCTAGGTATTATGGTTTAGCCGTTACCAAGTAGGTAACTAGGAGTCAGTTTACTTCAAATAAAGCAATGTCTGTCATCTACATCATCTACATAATACCTAAGCTTGTTTATCAAGGGCTCAGATGTATGTGTATATACATGCATACACATATGTATATGTGAATATATATAGACATAAGTATATATGCATATATACATACACACACACACACACACATACATGTATACATCCCAATGAAAGAGGACTTACTTTCTCCTGAAGAACTCTTTTGTTTCTTACTGTCAATATTGTTGAGCTTTCTAGTCCTCTACCCAGGATTATGTTTTCTTGAATCTATCTCTAGACATTTAGTGCTCCCCAAAGGCCAGCTCAAATCTCTCCAGGAACTTTGCTCAGAGACTTGGGAGCAGGGCTCTTCCTTGGGGCTCTCTTTGCTCTTCCAGGGCTCAGGCCTCTGCTCTGCTTTGTTCATACCTGGCACGCACTCCACCCACTGTCTCTCAGCTCTAATGTACCCACCTAGGGGCTGTCTTGGCGTTCAATTCCTTCTTAAAAACAGTGTTTCCCAAATAGACCAGTGTTTTCTCTGTTGTGCCAGAGGATCCTGATGGGAGTCTCTATCTGTGAATCTTTCTTGCTTTTTGAACTATGGATGTTTGAACATGGACACTTTTCCACATTTGGTTGCATGATTATTAATTCTGAACAGCAGGGACCGTGCCTCAATTTCTGGACTGTTACCTACAGTACCGTGAGCGTGAAACGGATTAATAAGCATCTTTTGATTTGAAGGATAGTCCCACATGGAGATAGCTCCGAATGCCGCCGGGAGCAGTGGGCGGTACTTCAATCCTGGGGCGAGTAATGACCCAAGCACATTTGAGGCAAGACTTCAAAGGGCTAGAGCAAAATACAAACACCAGGAAGGGGCTGCATGTAGATTCCAGGAGCAAAATGTACTTTCCCACCCGCAGAGCAGAGAGGCCTCTTTACCTCCTGAAGAAATCACCTCCAAATTGTTGCTACTTAGCTCTTTACAAAGATTTCTTGAGCTTGCTAACATGTTTTCCCCAAATCATTCTTCAAATAAGCAGCTATAAGAAACTTAAACATGAGTGTGAATAAAGCCCACTTTTATTTATTTCTATTTTTATTTTTGAGTCTCGCTATGTAGCCCTGGCTAGCTGAGAACACACCGTGTAGACTGAGTTGGCCTCTGACTCTTGGAGTTCTGCTTGCCTCTGCCTTCTGAGTGGAGGGATTAAGGGTGTGTACCATGACACCTGGCCTGGCCCACCTGTCTTCTAAAGGAGATGGTCAAATCCATCACTCAACAATTTAAGCTCTCTAGTGTGCTCGATCCCATGGAAATTACCAGGTATTGCAGAGGAGAAGAACATGGTCCTCCATCAGGAGAAAGGCAGTCAGCGCGAGGGAAGAATGCTAGAATTAGGCAACAGGGGCATGAAAGAGTCCTTATGCCCAAGGCCAAAAGTGAACTGTTCAGGAGAGGAAAGAGTTAAAAGATGTAAAGAACCAAATGTAGCTCAATTGGTAGAGCGTTTATCCAGCATACATGAAACACTGGGTCCCACCCCCAGCACTGCACAAAACCAGGCATGTTGGAGCATGTCTGTAATCTCAGCACTTGGAAGGTGGAGGTAGGAGGAATCCAAGGTGAACGTCATCCCTGGCTCCGTATCAAGGCTGATACCTGACAAAATATGTCAGGTGTGTGCATGCTTCAGGACCGTGAGAAAAGTCTCAGGGGACCTGGGCACAGACTCATCACAAGGCAGCAGTAATGTGTGTACCCCGATTCCTCGCCACCTGTGAGTTCAGCTGGGCTCTGTCCCTTGGGGACTGGAGGTGGAGGTGCCAGGAATGCTGGCATCTGCCTCGCGCATTTCTAGCTTCGTCTAGGAGAGTGAGGGGTGAAGTTCTCACAATGCCTCAGTGGTTGTTTGGGCGAGGTTAGCAGCAAGGCCGTTGAAGACGGGCTGGTTTTGTTTTCAAATGACACCTCTGCCCTTCATAGCTGGGTGACCTTGGATGTGTCTCTTAACTTTTCTAGGCCCTGGGAGTTTTATCTGTCAAATCGAGTCATACTTCTCTGGTGGGGTTGTGAACGAAGATTAAATGATATAACTTGTATTAAAGTGACCAACAGAGAGGCATCTAGAGTCTATAAAGCTCAGCACAGAATAGAAACGCCAGGGGTCTATTCACAGAGCAGAAGAAAGTTATGTTGAAAGCAATAAGATGTGAAACTTTCTTCTTTAAAAATAGTTCATAATTTATAAAATATAGCAGGGATAAGAAATCTAACAGAAGACTAACAACAGAAACTTGCAAATAACAAAAAATATTTTTAGTTTTCAAATTTGGAGAATAATTATTAATGGACTATCTTGATTAATGGCAGTTATTCTGGCCAACATTTTTGCAAATTAATTTCCTACGTGGTCAGCACATACTTTGAACAACTTAGCACTTACTAGAAGAATTAGATGAGCTACTCTGCTGGAGAAAAGTGTATTTTGCAAGATGCAGCTACATTGGGATAAATTATTTTGAAATAAAAACATTTCTATGTCCAGAGATGACAATTCTTATAAAGATTAAATTTAAATTTAATTCTTCAAACATATCAGTTTCATGTAAGTTTGGAGTTAATTATAAATGGAAATTTATGCAATGGGGTTTTGACATTTCTGCTAGTGTTTCTTGTAGGTTAAGGAGGCCTCAAGATGCTCAGTCTGGCTCCATGCTTTGCAGTCTATTTCATACTCCTGTTCACATATTCAACTGCTGTATTTTCACTAAGAAGTGGAGGCTAAAAGTCTTTCTTGTTAAAAATGGATTTATTTGAATCTTGGTATGAAACAGCATTCTTTGTTAAACCTGAATTTTTACACATTAATTTCTGTTTATTAAATATAATGGGGATAAGAAATCTAACAGAGGACTAACAACAGAAACTTGCAAATAACAGAAAATATTTTTAGTTTTCAAATTTGGAGAATAATTATTAATGGACTATCTTGATTGATGGCAGTTATTCTGGCCAACATTTTTGCAAATTTTATTAAGCCCCTGTGGTTGTAAACTCCCTGGTGTGTTTTCCTGCCATGCCCACATGGGCACATGGGATTTTTTGAGATCATTCCTTGACCTTCCTGAATCACCTGGGGCTCCAGCCTAGACTTCAGGTTGGAATTAGTATTTATGTATTTATTCCAGGGTATTTCCATGCTGGGAACAAATGCAGTTCCCCAGGTTGGCTCACATGGAGACCTTCTTCCTCCCCAGGGCTGAGGTAACAGTTGCCATCACTATTACCAATCTCAGCTCAGAGGTACCCAGACTGCTTCTGGGATGCTCAGAACGCCCATCCCAGACTTGCCCTCTGGGCCTGTCTCCCAACATGTCCAATTTTTCTAGGTGATTGCTTCATTGCCTCATTATACTTCCCTTACAAAATGCTAAGTTCAGAGAAAATAAGATCAAGAGGGCAGCAACAGGACATGACACCAAGCACCAGCCCCCTCTTGAGCTCAGGGACCTGGTGTGAAAACCCCACAGCATTCAAACCCTGAGCTCAGTCCAGGCCAGAGAAACAGGATGCTATAAAGTACTTTTAACACTGAGGGATGAAGAGATGGGTCAACGGTAAAAGCACTGGCCGCTCTTGCTGAGTTTGATTCCCAGCACCCACATGGCAGCTAACAACAGTCTGTAACTACTATTCTGGGTATCTGATGCCCTCTTCTGACCTCCATGGGCATTTCACAATATGGGTGCACTTACACACAGACAACACAATCATATAGATAAAATGAAAATAATAAATAAAATATTTTTAAAAATTAACACCAAAAATAACATGTTGAGAAATGTTATTTTCAAAAAACCACTTCTGAGAAATACTTTGCTTTTGGAAAACCTATCTGTGGGATTTCTCACTGTCCACTGGGCAACTGAGTCCCTCCCCATGGAAATGCTGACTGGACTCCTCTCTCCCAGTTATAGGTGAGTGGTGTGGGGGATGCAGCTTTTCTCTCTCCTTTCAGGAGCAAGACCATGGGTCTACCATCCCTGAGATCACAGGTTTGTGTGTTACTCTTGGACCCACAACATGAAGTTCACGGGGAACCCAAATTCATTTCAGTTTTTAACCTAAACTCTGTACTTCTCCAAATCCTATGTAACCTCAGCTCCAGGGTTTGGTGAGGGTGCTTTTTTGTGTTGGCATATGGTCTTCCAGACTGTAGCAAAATAGTTACTCTGCTTTGGAGGGAAAATAAATCCCCCCTAGAGGTCTCTTTCAAGTGAACTTTGTCAGTAGAATGGATGCAGCACAAGGGAGTCACCTTATTCCATGCCAACAGTGGCGGGCACAGGGCCCTGAGTGGAGCACATAGTCAGTGGTCCTCAGCTAGCCTCTGATAGCACCATCTGCATGCATTCTTCCTAAAAGGAAAGGGTGATGCATTTCATAGTGTGTGTGTGTGTGTGTGTGTGTGTGTGTAAAACAGATCAACTTTGCCTCCTTGGTATGTAAGCCTTCACTTGTGCACCAAGGTCAAGAAGGAAACAAAGCACGCGGGCAAAATTGCTATTGGCAGTTCTCTGTGGTTGCAGCACAACTGGATGGGAAATTCACACTTGTATGGGTGGATCTTTAAATGTGGCGTATTATTTTGATCATAATAATTGGAAGTACACAACTCGTCAAGGAAGGATGAGTTAGATTAATGCTAAGCAGTAAAAACATGAGAACCACTAACTTAATTCAACCTCTAAACCCCATAAAGCCTCTCCTTTAAATTAGAGTGACTCCTTAACAAACAAACACACATAAAATAAATAGACATACTAACCTAATTCAACGTGTGCATCTAGACTGAAAATGATCCAGGAAAATAAATCCATAGCTATAGAGATTCTACTTGCTAAAATGAGAACAAATATGAATATTGACTGACACTAAATTATGTTAAGGAGTCATTCTTAATGTGTGTAACTACAGCTGTGCTTTAGGAAAGACTTTTCCCTAAAGAATGTACGCCAAGATAATGAGGGCACAGTGTGAATTCTGTGGTTCAGAGCTTTTAGCATTTTCCTATGATACTGGAGCGTGAACCTGAGCATTGTGTGTAGTAGACAATCACTCTCCCACTGAAGTCCCTCCTCTACATCTCCTTTCTCCACTCCCTAATGTGGACAGGGTCTCTCTAAGTTGCTCAGACTGACCTCAAACTCGTTACATAGACCAGGTAGGCCTTGAACCTGTCGTCCTCCTTCCCCAGATTCCTGAGTGGGTGTTGGTTTAAGAATCCACCACCATACCTGGCTTGCCTGAAGTCTTCAATGTCCACGAAAGGCCGTGTGCTGAAGTCTTGGCAGGCCTGAGGACAGGTGAGCCCTGCAGCACCCGAGGCCCAGCAGAGGAAGATATGTCACCAGGCACATGCCTCAAGGAGTGGACATTGGCATACCAGTGGCCCTCCCTTCTGCTTCCTGGTTGCCCGGAAGTGAGTGGCTCTGCTTCACCATGGCCTCCTTGTCATGATGTTCTGACTTGTGACAGGCCCCAAAACAATGGAGTCACCTGACCATGGACTGAATCTGTGAGCCTTGCGCCCAATGTTCCGTTCCTCCTTCTAAGTTGTCAGTTAATGTCTCAGTGACTGAAAACTAAAGCACGTTTGCCTTTCGTTGTCAAAAGCTGGGGGAAAAGCAAACATTAAAAAAGCAAACTATTCCTTTAGGTTAAGCACTAGATACTTTTTTCTCATATTGAATTTCTGCATATGAATTGCAAACTTCCAGGAATTGGCCTGGAAGAAAAACTTCCAGTGTTAGGACTGAGTTGACAGGCTTCTCAGAACAAACTTGCTTCACACAGAGAAACAGAGTCCAGGCAAGGGGTGTGACGTCTATGGTGACACGGCAATCCCAGATGGGCACTCGTCTATAACTTCCGGCAGCTCCCTAACCCAACCCTTCCATTTCGCCCTCCATCAGAAACTTCCTCTCTGGATTAAAACATCCAAACTTGATGACACAATGTCTTCCACCAGCTCCTTTAAGAACATCTCTAATTACACAGTAGAATAACAGTGCCCAGAGAAAGATAGGGTAAGGGGAAGAGAGAGGCTAGTTAGCATGTTCAAAAGAACTTAGGAGAATGAAGTTCTAGTTCTCTGTTGTATAGTGCTGTCACCATAGCTACTAAATACTGCATGCTTCAAAATAGCCATAAGAGGGGATCTGCGTTATTCCCAGTACAAAGCAGTTAAGGTGATGGATATGCTAATTACCCCGTTATGAACATTACATATTTTATGTAAGTATAGGTATACTAGCTATAGAGGAATTTTAAAATCTCTACTATGTATCACTTAATAAAAATCTCTACCCAGGAGCGATGACTTAGTGGTTAAGAGCACTGACTGCTCTTCCAGAGGACAGGGGTTCAGTGCCTACCACCCACATGGCAGCTAACAACCATCCTTAACTCCAGTTCCAGGGGATCTGATACCCTTTTCTGAACTCACAGACATTTCATGCATGGATGTACTTACATACATGCAGGCAAAACACATACATAAAAAAATAAAATTAAAATCTCTACCCAGCACAATACCACGGGGTTTTTAAGAACTTCAGAGTGTGAGTCCTTGGACAGGGCTCCTAGGTCCTGTGTTAAACTTCACTCATCCAGGGCTCAGGGACCATTGTGGAAGAGGGGGCAGAAAAATTGAGTTAGGGGAGGAGGTGCATGACCATATATGGAAATAGAGTCCTATAGGCTTCTGGGGTCCTGTTCCTTTGAACCTACAGCAATGGTGTCAGCATGCACAAGACCCATGCAAACTCAAGCAGACAAAAGCCAGCCAAGAACTCGGGGAATGGGCAGCAAGCCCCAATCTTAGCTAAGAACTATGGGGCAGCTGATTACTGTCGGTTGAGGAAGAACTGATCTTCTTTAAGGGAGGGACTGTAGATAGACTGACAGACCTCAGTGGATGAGCTTGCACTGAGGGATGACTGGGGGCACTAACTTGAGTTGCTAGGCCTTAACATAACTGACAGAATGCATGCAATCCAGTGTGAGGGAGGGCTATGGGAGGGTGCTGATGGGGAAGGGGGTATAAAGATGATTAAGATGTTGTGTGTGAAACACACAAAAATTCAATAAAATATCCAAAAATATTTTTTAAAATGAATTGTTCTAGTAGACAGTGCCTGAATTCTTTATTATCCAACTTCATGTCTCTTTTTCTGGGACCTACATCATAGCCCTTTTCAAAAACTGACCCTAAATTATAGATTTATACCCATGTGATTGCTTGTTTAAACTTCAGTTAGATCAAAAGAGGAAGAAACCGTGATCAGTGCAACTTATTTCCCATCAGAAAAGCCCCATCTCTTAGCTCCTCAGTTCTGTTCTGATGACCATTAGTGTTAGTTTTATTTTTATTTATTTATTATTATTTATTTGTTTGTCATTTTTTATGTGTATGAGTGTACTGTCTGCATGTGTGTAAGTGCACCCGTGTCATGCAATGCCCGCAGAGGTCAGAAGAGGTTGTCGGATCCCCTGGAACTGGAGTTAGGGATGGTTGTTAGCTGCCGTGTGGGTGCTGAGAATCAAACCTGGGTCCTCTGCAAGAGCAGTCAGTGCTCTTAACTGCTGAGCCATCTCTCCAGCCCCCGACTGTTAGTGTTTTTGGGGGTTAAAAATGAACAATGGGGTTCTGAAAGATACCAGAGCTCTCACTCAGCCCCGAGCCACAGGACCTACTTCAGGTTCCACCAAGACCAACAGTGAGACCACTAGAGGCCCTTGAGCCCCAGGTAGGGTCCCACAACAGCATGAAAATAGTAACTTAACCCCTCAGCACTGACATCCACATCATCTCAGAAGGCTCAGAACCCACAAATCTTAAGGCCATCAAGTCCCCTGGAGCTGGGCATCACCTGAGCCAGGACCAGACACTCACTGGCTTTGTTTTAGGTGGGCATAGGGAGGTGTGTACAGGTAAAATGTTACCAGTCTGTTGCTTTCTCAGAGAGAGGAAACAGCACTCACATCTGATTCCATGTTTGTTGTATTGTGTGAATGGCTAATTGCTGGAGACTTTGTTAATAAGTGAATTCATCATTCTGTGATAACTTAGAGAAAGTTATAGTTCACAAGGTACCTGTCTCCTGCCCCTAAACTTTTCTTTGTCCTGAGCTGGAAAAGCTCTGGGGACCCTGTGTTGGAGTAAACCCTTGTATCCCAGCAGTTGAGTGCACACAAGGATGGTTGACTCCATGTGAAATCACCTCCCGTTGGGGCAAAGCCTGTTGACAGACTCTTGAGAAAGCCAAACAAGGCAGAGTTAAAGCTCCAAGGAGCAGGCAAGTAAGGTCAAGTTGCAGCTAACAAGTTAAGGCTGGGTCCATCATCCCGTCTACCCCAGTACTGAAAGAATAAGGAAGGAAGGTGTTCTTGGTCCCGGGAGCAGGAATTGCCCGGGACTTCCTGTGTTTGCATAAGGGCTACTGGGTGTGCTTTGTTCTCAGAGGACCACTCCTTGACACAGCAGGTAAGAGGCTTGGTGTTTCATCAGTATAATTACTGGGATTCCAGCATACTGAATTCTACCCAGAAACCAGTTCTTGGACCTATATAAGGTGCAGGGCTCATATCCCTCTGCAGTCCGTGAAGTTCATCCGTCTTCAGTCATGAGGATCCATCACTTCCTCTTCACGTTGCTCCTGGTGCTCCTGTCACAGCTCGCGGGTAAGATGGACGGAGACTAGGCTGGTCCCCAAGGGAAATAAGACTGAGCACACCTCTCTTTCTCTATGTATGCATCTATCTATCTATCTATCTATCTATCTATCTATCTATCTATCATCTATCTGTTTATCTATCATCTATCTATCACCTATCTATCTCCCATCTATCTTCTATCTATATCTATCTATCATCTATCATCTATCTATCATCTATCATCTATATCATCTATCTATCTCTCATCTCTCTCTCTCTATAATCTATCATCTCTCTATCATCTATCTATATCTATTGTTTATCTGTCTTCTATCTATCATCTCTATGGTCTATTCTCTACCATCTCTCTCTAGTACTCTTCTCTCCCCCTTCCTCTCTCTTACTCTGTCTTCTCTCCTTTGCTCTCGCCTCTCACTTTGTTTTCAGCTCGTTCTCATTCTTTCTTTATACCTGCTCCCTTTCTCCCTCTTTTCTGCTAATTTCTCTTTCTGCCTTTCCTCTATTATCTTTCTTGTCTCTTTCTTCTAAGTGCATTTTAGACAACAAAAGTTGTTGGCCGTTTACAAGTACCAAGCACCATTTCCTTTGACTTTAAAAGAACCTAACTCAAGCTTTTAAAAAGCCAGTGTACAGCATTTGAATTTCACTTCCTAGCTCCTCACGCTGCACTTGAGATGAAGGAAGCTTCTATTAGGGGACTTCAAAATGGTAAAAGGAGAAAGGTTTATTTTTACCTGAAGAAAAGAGTGTTGAATTAGAAATCCATCTACGGTGGGCGTGGTGGTGCACGCCTTTAGTCCCAGCACTCAGGAGGTAGAGGCAGGTGGATCTCTGTGAGATTGAGGTCAGCCTGGCCTATATATTGAGTACCAGGCCAGTTGGGACTACAGGGAGACCCTGTCTCAAAAAAAGAAAGAAATTCTTATGTTTAAGGGGTGAAATCTCTGGTTACTTCAGGGAATCCCAGAGAATAACCATCCAGAGTCTATTTTGAAAGCTTTCTGCCCCTTACTCCTTCTCAGGTGAAAGGCCGTTGGGTATACACCTTCCACAAGGCTAAGGAGGCTAGTAACTCAGGGGAGGCCATTGGAACGAGCTTCCCAAACTCTATGTTTAAACTGTATTTATTTTTAATGTGTGTATGCATCTGTGTCTCTGAGTGATGTACATGTGAACGCACTATCCACACAGCCAGAAGAGGCCATCAGATGCCCTGGAGCTGCAGTTAGAGGTGGTCGTGAAGTGCCTGACATGGATGCCAGGAAACAATCTTGGTTCCTCTGCAAGAGCTTTACATGCTCTTAATGACCGGGCCATCTCTCTGCCACTAAAGTGTTATCTTATCTTTGACATTAGGGAAACAGAATGAAAAGGATAGACAGAAAACTTAGGGGAAGGAAGAGAGAAAGAGAAAGAAAATGTGAAACTTAGAACTGAACGTGGATCACACAGAAATACTCATTAACTTTGTTTATGGGTCTGGTTTGCAAAGGAGCATCAGGGTTCTAAGAGGTACCCAAAACTTTGCTATGTCAAAACTTGGAGTGGTGTTAGGAAGGTAGGGAGAAAGAGAAGGGAAGGATGATACTAAGACCCAGTTTTACATAGCAGATACATCACAAAAGTTGATTTTTACTGTTGATTTTTGTTTTCCATTGCAGACGACTTACTCATCAAGTTCTTATACTCTGAGCTATACCTATTTCAAATACTTAGTTAAAAAATAGGTACATGGACTGGGGGATTGCTCAGTGGGTAGTGTTTGCTGTACAAGCATGTGGACCTGAGTTTGGATGTCCAGCACTCAGGTAGAGGCAGAGCAAGGGAGTGCACATCTGCAATCCTAGCGCTGGGAAGAATCCCAGGGACTCAGCAGCCAGCCAGCCTAACCTCTTCAGTGAACTCAGTGAGAGACCTTGTTTCAAAAAAAATGAAGTGGAGAGTAATTGATAAGGACAACTGACATTGACTTCTGGCCTTGCCGTGTGTGTGCACGTACCTGCTGGGTGTTTCTGATACTGGAATGGTGTTTAAGAGAAATCTTCGAAAAGCTCTTACCTGGGCAAGCTCTTACCTCTGGAAAGCCCCATCACTCAGCTATGAAGCAGAGCCTTCAACTTTTTGGTCCTAGGACAACTAGTATCCCCTTAAAAAGCAGCTGTGCCGGTCCTTATCAAGATGGGGTCCAAATAGCTGTCAATTCATATCACATTATTCTAGTGGGATAGAGACTTGGCCCTGAGAAGGAAGCCTGAGGGATTTTATACAACAATATAGCACATGGGTGTGTATTTCTGACATTGTGCTTTCAATTCTAACATGCAGTTTCTTTTGCTCTTTTATCTTTTAGCTTTTACTGAAAGTAGAAGCAACCCCATAACTTGCCTCAGAAGAGGAGGCTTTTGTTGGGGTTTGTGCCCTGGAGGTACTCGACAGATTGGCGATTGTGGTATTAGCTGGTTCAGGTGCTGCAAAAAATTATAAGGCTGCCAAGAACCAGGCTGACAGGAGGACCAGCATCTGCTCCCTTCCTAAAGATGTATAAAACATAACCCTAATTAAAGCACTGTTGCTCAAATACAAAGAATCCTTTCGTCTGCATAAATATAACCACATAAATATAACTAAAATAAGTCTTTTAAAAAGTAAAGTTTGGGGGCTGGAGAGATGGTTCAGCGGTTAAGAACACTGATTGTTCTTGCAGAAGACCTGGGTTCAAATCCCAGCACCCACATGGCAGCTAACAATTGTCCTTAACGCCAGTTCCAGGGGATCCAACAGCCTCTTCTGTCTTCTGTGGGCATTTGCATGACATGGGTGTCTTACCTACATGCAGGCAACACATGCATACACATGAAATAAAAATAATAAAATATTTTTTTAAAAAGCATATTTCTGGAAAGATCACTTTAGCCATGCTTTGGTTAATGATAAAAAGCAGGCCCTGATGAAGGGTAGAGGGCATGCAGACTGTCCTGCTTCCATGACCTCATGCCAGCAGACGAGCTCCCAGAAAGCATTTCCTTAGCAAAATTGACAAGAGATAAATACATACTGCTGGATTCTTCTTATTGTTCAAGGTCTAATTCGTTATTAATCCATCACATAACCCCCAAAGTGCTATCGAAAGATAAACACAGAAAACAGCTGCCTCACAAATCCTTGAGGTGTCTTCAATGCCTTAACGTGTCATGTCGTTTCTGAGCATAGGTGCTGACGGCCCATGAGAATCTGAGATCATAATGTACATTCTTTGAATGTTTGTGTAGAAATTGTCAGAGACTAAAATGTCCAGCTCTGCTCAGTACATTTATCTTAACCTCTTTCTCTGAAGATGAGTTTGCTGTCCTCATCTATGATCCATTCCCCAGCTCCATTTTTCACAAAATTATTCAGTAAATATTAAAGAAACTCCTCATGGTTTTTTTGTTTTGTTTTGTTTTGTTTTTTTGTCTTTTTTGAGACAGGGTCTCCCTGTAGCCCCAGCTGTCCTGGAACTCACTATGTAGACCAGGCTGGCCTTGAACTCGCAGAGATCCGCCTGCCTCTGCCTCCTGAGTGCTGGGATTAAAAGCCTGTGCAACCACGCCCGGCCGAAACTACTTATGGTTTTAAATATCACACAAATGCAAGTGCCACAGGGTCACAAAACCATATTTGTCCCTTTTTTCAAAACCAAGGAATAGCCCATTCTTCACTCTCCAAAGCTCAGAGTGCGCATGGAGATTTGTGGTCTGGTCAAGTCCTGATTCATACCCAGGTTATGAATTTCAAAACTTTCACGTGATAGTTGCAGTAAGGCTAGGTAACAGACACAAGTGGGCAAAGGAGGCCCACAGTCATTGCTTTGCATCTGCAACATTCTGCTCCTCACAACCCGACGTGCCACACACTCAGCGAGGCTTGTAGAATCTTCAACGTAGGTGCCAATTTTTCAGCGAACTTGAGTTCACAGTCCCATGGGCTTATTTACACAAGGTAATCCATCTGTCTTTATTTTTCTGAAGACCCAGCATTAAATAATTCTATCCAGTCAAACCCAAGTGCATGTGGAGCTTCTTGGTCTTGTCTTAATTCATGCCCGGGTTATACTGAGTTGGATAGCATTTGCCTCAATCCTACGGGCTGTTTTCTTTGGGAGGATGACAGGACATCATAAGCACCAAAACACCACTACAGAGACAAGCAAAATCCAGGATACAGATCCTAAAAATGAATATGAAGTAGGGACAACCGTCGCTAAGCCCCACCCCTTCCACAGTCACTCCCAAAAGAACCTATTTGTAGACAAGCTTCCAGCTTCCCACACGGAAAACAGAAAGCCAGTTCTCGGTTGGCTCAGCAACACAGGTTCCAGAATCCTCTCTGTCCTTCCTAGGCAGTTCACTGATTTTATCAGCCCTGGGGAAAGAGGACCTTGCATTTTTATTCCCTGACATGGGCACCTCATGCCACATTTTATCCCCATCACCTTAATCACTCTGTGGTCTCTTCACACAGAGAACCAACCAGCGCGCAGTGGTCAGGTCTCCATTCTACCCTTCAGCTTCCAGAGACTTTCGTGTCATTTGCTTGCTTGCCGTATTTTTATTTATTTTTTTCGTGCATTCAAGACTAATCAAAGGGGGAATGGGGACCAGAAAAATAGAATGGACTCAAATGGAAGTGTTAGGACAATTTTCTTAGAATTTAAAAAAAAAAAAAAAAAAAAAATCCTCCAGGCAGGCAAGCTGTAAATCTCAGCAGCTGCCTTGAGGAGAAGAATGGCCCGGAAAAGGGAAAGTCCGTAAACCAGCTGGTGTAGAGCCAACATGGAGGTCAGACACACGGTGGACTAGCAGCCACGTGGGAAGGGAGCTTCAGAGAAAAAGTGGTGTTAGTAGTTTTCTAACAGCATGGTTAGAAAAGATGTAAAGAAGAAAAGAGATGACCGTTCTCTGAAAAATTCAGAAAAGTGGGCAAGACTCACACAGAGCTCAGGTCTGTGACTGGCAGGCCCACAAGAGCTTGCCCAAAGACCGGGGATTCTGGGCAGGAACAGCGCACCGTTCCATCAATGCACCCATTTCTTTAGCATGACTGCAGCTGAACCAGCCTCCTAGGTGTGGTCCTGTGACCAGGTGATCCTGGAAAACTGGAAAACTGGGTCTTCATCCAGTGCAGACGTTCTTATTCTTTTTATTTTCTTTGTTGTTTTCTACAGGAACAATAGCACTTAGATGACTAAATGTTTATAAAGCAGTTGTTACCCACTTAAAAAGTAATCAAAATTTCCAGAAGAATTTGGAAAAAGAAACACATTCTCAACTTTGGTTTTGGTTTTTCCATTTGTTTCTAAGTCAGGGCTTCCTGCTGTGTATCAGCTACCGACTGCTGGCCTCCTGTTTGTCTGTTTATCCTCCCGTTGTAGAGGACACCCTGCCTTGCAAACACCCCAGCCACACACAAGCTTCCTGAGCTCATCTCCCAGGCCCAGCACTGCATGAGTCAGAATATTTAGCAAGAATTCCTGCAGCAGCAGTGCCCCTGCATGGTCAGAAAATGAACAAGAAATCACCATTAGAGCTGAAATCACCACAGTCAGCATCAACACAAAAGCATAACTCTTACCTCAAGGGGGAAAGATGTTTCTTTTGGAGCCAAATATGAGAGAGCATGGCCTGGGAACACAGATTCAGGTTACCTTAAATTCCATGTTCCAGCGTGGTAACAGTTACATTACGTTTTTATAGTGACAGAACAAAGAACAAAGAAAAGTCACAAATCAAGACGCTTTTCAAACACATTGGTGGAGACATTCAGTAGGCAGGTGGTGGCAAAGCGGAGGGAGGGGAGTTCTGCTATGACATTCTTAGCTTTTTGATTGGTGAGACCAGGGGATCTGCTAAGTTAATAGATTTCATTAGTCACAAGAATGTTAATTCAGAAACAGAGGTAGGCAAGGTGTGGCTATTTATGGGGTTAAAGATGTCCCCAGATGATTTGTGAACAGGCTCTGGATTCACAACATTCTAGACTCTCCACAATCTCCAGAGTGCTAATTAGTTGGTCAGCCTTTCAGGAAATTCAGTCCAAGATGGAGGAGTTCTTTCTGGGAACTTTCACATCCTGTAGTCCTACCATGGAGAAGTAGTGCACCTCTCACAGATTTTCAAGGGGGGGTTCCCTCATGCTTGAGTCTCCCTGAGGGAGCCCTTGAGCTTCTTTCTACACAGCTGCTTTTCCAGCTTTCTCTACAAGACTTGTTCCTTTTATCCTGCCTTGGGGACAGAGGCCTTTGTTCCCCATTCGGCGGGATGGGGCAAGACTTGCTTACATTAAACCTGGTTAGGCAGATTCTGCCCAACACCTTCTTGGGGTTGGATGCTTCTTGAGTTAGCTCTAGAGACTGAGTTCAAGACTTTCAGACAAGCTGAGTGGAATGTGGTTTCTCAGTTGTCTCCAACTCAAAGTAATTCTCATAGGAAAGTGGCATATTTTGGGAAATTCTGATCTCCACCAGGAGACAACAGGGAAGGGGCATTGTCCTTAGGGACATTTTGTAGATGAAATGATGATAGGATCCTGTGGTCAGGAAGAACTCTCCTCTGCTTGACTAATTTTTTCTCTTCTACACAGTGGCTGACAAAGCCCCCATCCACTTTCTGCAAAACTCACAGGAGCCTGTTACATACGATGGCCTGCTATTGTAGGACCTGGCGGAGGGATAGGGAGTCTTTCATACTGAGTGGAAGCTTAGGAAACTGCCTGGGAAAGAGAGGTGAATGTCCAGAGTGCTTGGGAGACCCTGGCAGCTCCGGGCTGGAGGCAGTGTTGTGCGGGTGCGGGTGCACACTGGAACTCCTCGGAAACATTAGTGGTTTCCTTATATTCATTCATCAGAATGAGGTTTAGCTAGGAAGTTTGAAGTTAAAAGGCTGGTCCTGGGAGGCTGGAGAACATAGATTCACTAGCAATGGAGCATATTGAAATATTTGGAAAATGCCAAGCAGAGTTCTCGGTACAGAGTAAGTGACCCATGAATCACAGCTATTGCATTTTTATTCCAGTCACTATTAGGACTGCCACAGTGTCCAAAAATGAGACCAAAGTGTGTCAGTTATTTCAAAATCTTTAAAAGTTTTCTCATGTGGCAAGTAGAATAATCCACAGATTTGCATGGAAATAGACGGATGAAAATTCTGCTAAATTAAAGACGTGCTGCCATTTTTTCCCTTTCTTTTTTAATGAGTGCATTAAGCTACCTCTTACAGAATTGGCTTTAAATAAGGAAACTCCTGTTCAGGATTCGCAGGAATGAGTCACACCGGGCATTTTGCTGTTAGACAAGACAAAGGTGTGTTTCTTGCCTGCATTAGGCAGAGTCCACGTGTGGAAGGGATGGGCAGGGAGAGTGTGCCTACGACTCTTCTCACAGTCAGAGGCACCTGTGTGGACAGCCCTGGCCTGTAGGATCCAGTGAAGTCAGTCTCAAGTTCAGACCC